TCTTTCTGAAGGACCCGCTGGTAACCCAGCTGCAGCCGCTATCGGGGCTGCAGATGGGGAAGGCGCCGAGGGCACGGAGGCCGCAGAGGATATTCGGCCGCTAGTTGGCCAGGCGGCACCCGATCGAATTCTGCAAGACTGGATCCCAATTAGGACCAAACTTGCCAGAGCCTCGGAAGGCCACCTCAGCGGCTGGTCGGTCCCAGACGATCCCTCGCCCATCACGGCGGACCCGGCGCTGGCGGCCGCGGCCTCCCTCAGCCCGTCGACGCCCCTAGGCTGGGACGCTTTTAGTCCGCGCCTCCTCCTGCAGCCCCCCTGGCCCACGGCGGAAGCTCGCGCGGGGACTCTAATGGCTTGGGAGCGAGATCCCGCGGTTGGACCGATGCGGATGGTCTCAGTGGTGTTTTGAGGCGAGCCGCCAGGAGGGGTGAGGCCCATTGGGTTTCTTCCCCTCTGGGCTAGAATATGGAGCCGCACGCGTCATGACATGCGCGCGGCCTGGGAACGGACGGTAGATGAAAAATGCGCCTGGGGGCCCGGCTCCAGCACGGCTTGCGACAAGAGCGCCTGGGCCCACAGCGCCCTGAACGCCCACGCGCGATCGATCCCGGGGCTTGAAACGGCGACGCTCTTCACTGACTTGCGAAAGTTTTATGGGCGCATTTCGCACGAGGAGTTGCTGGCGGCGGCTCCAGCCAGTTCCTTTCCGCTGGCGCTGCTGCGAGCGCACTGTCGCCCGTATCGTGGCCCTCGGAGAGTGGCCTGGCAAGGGGCGATCAGTCGAGAGATCCAGCCTAACGGCGCAGTCATAGCTGGCTGCTCTGGGGCCACCACCTTTGCCCGAGTGTTGCTGCTCGGTGCCCTGCGCAGGGCAGCGGCAGGGAACCCCGCGGTGCGCATTACGAATGTCATTGGTGACGTCTAGCTGCATGCGGTAGGAAGAAAGCAGGTCATCACTCGCGAGTTGCCAGCGTTTTTTTATCGCTGAACTCCGACCTGTAACGCATGGGGCCTCCCATTGTCGTTAACAAGCTAGGCCTGGTTTCATCCTCGACAGCGCCGGCGGAGGACGTCGCCAGTCTGCGCAGCTTGCCTGCGTCGGCGAGAGCCCAGGTCCACGGGGATCTAGGCGGCGACGACACAGGCGGCGCTCGACGGCGAGTCAGCACCCAGCACGAGCGCCTTTGCGAGGCCCAGCAAAAAGTTGTCTGGGTCCTCTCGCCGCGAAACGCTGGGGCCCCGCGCGGGTCGATCTTTAGGGCTGGGATCACTTGAGAGGCCCGCTGGGGAGCCAACATTCAAGGACTCCCCAATGGCAAGCTGGAGCGGCTCCGCCTGGCTGCGCTCAGGGCGGAGGGGAGGTCCCCGAGGGGGTGCCCCCTCGAGTTGGCCCCCATGCGTGCTCGAGGAGGCCGGGTCGGAGATCCGCTAGTCACCATTACGGCTGACGCCCTCCGCACCTACAGCCAGATTATAATGAGCCAACGCCTGTCGCCTGTGGCGCTGCAGTCTCTTTTGGCCCGCGGACAGGAAGTGCCCCTGCTGCCTGGGCCTCGGGCCCGCGTGCGAGACCCAATTGCGGCCCTCCCCCTCACGCGCTTGCGAGTGGGGTTCGTTTTTGACGACCCGTGGACCTTACGGGAGGCCACGGGGGAGGTCTGGGACCTTCGCCAGGTGTCGCCAGCGATGGTGGCTAGGCGAGCGCAGCTGGCGGCCAGGCGTCTCTCTGACCGCGAAGGCTTGGCCAAGATCGACCGAGGCATAGGATGAACAGGCGACATTTTCTGGCGACCCCTCAAGGAGCTCATGCACCGCAGGTGGAAGGCCTCACTTGAGGATGAGCGTGGGGGGTCTGACGGCCCGTGGGGGATTCGGGAGCAAAGAGTTCTCCGTGGCCTAGTCATTGGCTCGCATTGGTGCCAGGCGTGGTTCACAAGCACGACCCTCAGTTGCCAGCGCAGTGCCTCATATGTGGCGAGGCCAATGGCAGTTTGTTCCATCGTCACTTTGAGTGCCCAGCCCGACAAGCGCGGAGGAGGGACTTCCTCCCGCAGGATCTCGTCTCATCGGTAAGACGCTTGCAGGCTGGGCTCGAGTATTCGTTTTTTTTTTCCAGAGGGATCCTTCATGATCCCTGCCAAGCTTTCTCCCGCCCTCGGTGGAGCCCCGTGTTGGAGTTCAAGGTTGACAGGCAAGCGCCGCCCCTGGCGTTGGACGGTGGCCATGTTCTTTGCGATGGCTCAGGGGTGGTGGACGGGCTGTTTCCGTCATGTCGGGTTGCTGGTTGGGGAGTGGCAATCTATGATCCCGAGTGCCGACCCTTAGCGGGGCGGTATGGAGCGGTCCCCCCGCCGTCGGGCCTTGACCAGGTAGCTCGGGGCGGAGAAGATTATGCTGTTCTCCTGGCCCTTAAGCATTTAGTAGCCAAATAAACGGTATATTCCGGTTGCACAAGGACGGCGCAGTGTTGTTGGGACGCTAGATACGCACAGTGGCCTGGCAATATCCGAGCTCATTTGTGGAAGGAGGCTCTTCTTGAAGGAAGGCCTGAGCTGGTGGAGTTCTGTAGGGTAGCGGCTCACACCTTCATGGCTGACGTTCGAGAAGTACGGATCAGCCTGTTCGAGAGGGAGGGCAACGAGCAAGCTGATAGGCTTGCGAATGCACAGCTTTGCAGGTACCCGAACCAGGTGGTCATGATGGCCAAAGGAATGCCCCATACGTCGCACCTGCTGCTCCAGCACATAAGCATGGCAGAGACCCACGATACTGACGTGGGCCAGCGGGACAATGCAGGGGCCCAGGGGCTCACGAAGATCTCCCTGGAAGGGGGATCGGAGATGGAGGAAGCGCTTGCAGAGGCTAGGAGGAGGTCTAGTGGGGAGGGGGGAAAGTTAAGTGCTGCTGCTCCTGCTTTCCCTCCCCAAGATCCCTCCTCGCCCTCGCGACCTCCCCCCGGAGCCCCCGGCGCCAGAACTGTTGGCACAAGCCTATGATGCCCAGCAAGCTCCTGCCTTCACAGGCGGGCATGCCTTGCTCGAGTTCGCAGTCACCACTAAAGGGCACCCGCCAATGCCATTTTGCTTGACCTGTGGGGCCTACGCCACGGTGTCGGTGGGATCTCGGGGCCTGCGGAGAGGCTGTGGAGGCTTCCAACATGCACTGGTGGACCCTGGAAAGAAGATAGCGAGGGCTGTCTTCAGAGGGAAACGCCACAATGAACCTCTCAAGCTGGGCCCTCGGAGAACTCCTGGGGCTTGGGCGCGAGAGCTGGCTGGGGGACAACAGGAGCCCAAGACGGCCCAGCAGAGAGATGGTAGTTGTTTAAGGCCCGAGGCGGGCCGCTCTGCATTTTTGTGCCGTGCAGATGTCCTCCAGGCGTTTGGGCTGGACGAGTCCGAGGCGGCCGAACTAGGACGCAAGCTGCAGGAACGGACCCCAGACAACGATCTGGAGGACGAAGAAACAGGCGGTAAGATACCCAGGGGGGGCCCTGTCGTTGGCCCTTGGCAGGTCGTGGGCCTTCCTGCCAGGGTGACAACAAATCCACTCTGATGCCCCCCCCTGGGTTTTTTGAACCGTCGAACCTCTTTCCCCCCTTTCCCCTCAGTGGCGTGCGATCCTCCTCCTCCTCCTCCTCCTCCTCCTCCTCCTCCTCCTCCTCCTCCTCCTCCTCCTCCTCCTCCTCCTCCTCCTCCTCCTCCTGCTCATCATCATCGTCATCATCATCATCAGCAGCAGCAGCATCATCATCATCACCCTCCGCTTGTCGTTGTCGCTGTGGGCTTCAATGCTTTCCCCCGCCTACTCCTCCTCCTCCTCCTCCTCCTCCGACCCCACGGGGCTGGTGTCAACCGGATCTCAGTCGGGGGAGGATCATTGGGCCGCTTTCGTTTCAGCGTGCTCGCAAGAAGTCGTCACGAGGAGGCCGAGTTTTGTGTCGAGCGGATCTCGGTCGGGCGGATCTTAGGGCCTCCTTCGCTTTGGCGTGCTCGCAAGAAGTCGTCACGAGAAGGCCGAGCTTCGCGTCGAGCAGATCTCAGTGGGGGGATCGTAGGGCTCCTTTCGTTTCAGCGTGCTGGTAAGAAGTCGTCACGAGAACGCACGCGCCGATCGGATCTCAGCAAGGGGGGATCCTCGGCTCTTTTGGTTTCAGCATGCCCGAAAGAAGGCGTTACGAGAAGCCCGATCTCCGTGTCGACCTGTTCCCAGCAGGGGGTAGGGATCCCTCGGCCCCTGTCGCTTCAGCAGCCTCGCTAGAAGGCGTCACGAGGAGGGCGAGCGTCGCGTCGAGCGGATCTCAGTCAGGGGGGTGTTATTGGGCCCCCTTCGCTTCAGTGTACCAGAAAGAAGTCGCCACGAGAATGCCGAGCGTCACGTCGAGCGAGTCTCAGTCTACGGGGGGGGATCCTTGGGCCCCTTTCGCTTCGGTGTGCTTGCAAGAAGTCGTCACCAGAAGGCCGAGCTCCGCGTCGAGCGTATCTCAGTCGGGCGGGGGATCGTTGCCCCCTCGTTGCCTCAGCGCGCTGGCAAGAAGGCGTCTTGGTAGGGCCGAGCTTTGCGTCGAGCGGACCTCGGTCGTGGAGCTACTCGGGTCCCTGTCGCTTCATCGCTCTCGCAACTCGCCACGAGAGACGGCCGGGCCTCAAGAGACGCCAGTAGGGTCGCAGAGAGGGGGTAAGGGTGGTTGAGCCGGCCGTCGTGCTCTTAATGCAGAGTTCTGGGGGGTAGTCGGGTAGTCGCCTTCCCCTCCCTCCCTCCTCGCTCCTCCTCCTCCTCCTCCTCCTCCTCCTCCTCCTCCTCCTCCTCCTCCTCCTCCTCCTCCTCCTCCTCCTCCTCCTCCTCCTCCTCCTCCTCCTCCTCCTCCTCCTCCTCCTCCCCTCCTCTCCTCCCTTCCCTCCTCCTCCTCCCTCCTCGCCCTCCTCCCTCCTCCTCCCTCCCTCCCTCCTCCCTCGTCCCTGGCGGAGGCGGGGGGGGGGACGGAGACGAGGACGAGGAGGAGGACGAGGACAAGGAGGGGGGAGGACGGAGGCCCGAGGACCAGGGCTTTCGGACGCGTCTGGCTCCTGCGTGGCAACCCCAGAGACCTCCGCAGACTCCAGAGGTCTGCTCCCCCCTGCCCCTCTCGCGCATCCCCTCCTTCCTCCCGCCTCCTCCACCCTCCTCCTCCTCCTCCCCCTCCTCCTCCTCCTCCTCCGCCTCCTCCCCCTCCTCCTCCTCCTCCTCCTCCTCCTCCTCTCCTCCTCCTCCTCCTCCTCCTCCTCCTCCTCCTCCTCCTCCTCCTCCAGCCTGCCCGGAGGTCGCCCGTCTCGCGTCGCGGTGTTTGCCACGCGGTGCTGCACGCGCCAAGAGAGATCCCTCCTTCGGGCGAGTCCGCCTGGTCGGGTTCGCTACACGCGTTCAGGGGGCTGCGGTGAGGAGGGGGCCGCGTGGACTCTGCTGGTGTCATGGCCGAGGGATACGGAGATTGGCCATGGGGGCCTCCGCTCTGCATCTTCCTTCCCCAGGGCAGCGGGCGCAGGGGTGAACGACTGCTCCGAAGCACGGTACGGCGCGGAGAAGAAAACAGGCTGCGATGATCGATCGCCCAGATGAACTACAGAAAGCGTTCCAGAAATAGCCTTCTCTTGAAGGGATCGAAGGATCGAACTCTTGTTCTCGGCGGACGCCAGCAGAAGGGAAGCAAGGGCGGTTCCACCAGCAGGACCACGGCGGAAGGCGGCGAAAGTGGAGTCGGACCCGCCAAGAGAGGTCAACGCCTGCGTTCCCAGATCTCCTGGAGACAGCCACGTGCCTTCATGCTGCCCCTGCTGCCTCACTCAGGCAGGCCCAGGATGAGGACAAGTTGCTCCAAAGCTTCCCGGCACGCTCTCAGAGCGTCTCGGATCGCTCTAGAACAGCCGTGGCGCCCGATACGTCTTCCAGACCCGCCGGCTCTCATAGTTTCCCGATCCACCCTCATCCGAAGTTATCGTCATCTTGCATTCGTCTGAATTGTCCCTGCTGTCCCACCCGGGTCTCCAGCCCCCGCCCCCTGTCACATCCAAGGGGTGTCAATTGATAATTTGACGGATGTTGGCCAAGCCGATTTTGGGCCAAGGGTGAGCTTGGCCAGGATCGGTGGGTTTGGCCAGGATCGGCGGGGTGGTCCGTTGACGTCCCCCGAATCACACTCCTCCTCGCAGCCGCAGCAAGCGGCCAGCTACCCCACGAGCCCCTCGCATTCGCCGATGGCTGCTGCTGGAGGGAGCCACGTGGTCCTGCTCAGGAGCGACGGCACGGCCGTGGCGTGCGGCGACAACGACTTCGGCCAGTGCGACCTGCCGCCGCTGCGCGACGGCCTGACGTACGTCCAGGTCGCCGCCGGAGATTTCCACACTGTCTTGCTCGTGAGCGACGGCTCGGCCACAGCGTGCGGCCACAACGGCAACGGTCGGTGCGACTTGCCGGCGCTTGTCGGCGGTCTGGCCTACTCGCAGGTCGCCGCAGGAGGAGGCCACACCGTTCTGCTTAGGAGTGACGGCGCGGCCAGGGCCTGTGGATACAACGGTACGGGCCAGTGCGACCTGCCCTCGCTGGACGAAGGCCTGTCGTACATGCAGGTCGCCGCAGGAGGCTTCCACACGGTCCTGCTCAGGAGCGACGGCGCAGTTGCAGCTTGTGGCCGCAATGCCGACAGCCAATGTTACGTACCGGATCTGCCTGGAGGTGTGACCTACGCGCAAGTCGTCGCAGGCGACGACCACACAGTCCTGCTCAGGAGCGACGGCACGGCCGTGGCCCGGGGCGACAATAGTTGCGGTCAGTGTCGCATGCCCCCACTGAAACGAGGTATGACTTACACGCAGGTAGCCGCGGGAGGCAGCCACACAGTTTTGCTCAGGAGCGATGGCACAGCAGTGGCTTGTGGCGAGAACGCTGATGGCCAGTGCGACTTGCCAGCGCTGGCTGTGGATCTGAGCTATACGCAGGTTGGCGCGGGATCGAATCACACGGCTCTCCTCAGCAGCGATGGCGCTGCCGTGGCTTGCGGCTACAACGGTCGTGGCGCGTGCGACCTGCCATCACTGGTTGGAGGTCTGACGTACACCGTGCCTTTGTTGCCGACGCTGCTCCTGCAGGCACTGTTCGACGGCAGCACGATACGCTTCGTGACCTTCGGCGGGGTGGAGCGCTGCAGAGTCGGACTAGCGCCAGGCGCTTTGCTCACAGATGTGTACGAGCACCTGGTGGTCGAGCACCGCGCGGGCAGGCTGGGCCCTGGCCTATCCCGGGTCGACGCAGTCCTGCCAGCGGGACGGCTCCTGAGCAAGGCTTCTGCCGACGAGACCGTCGCGGGCGCATTCGGGCTCAGCCTGCGCAGCTAGAGCACCCCCTCCTCCTCCCTCCCTCTTCGCCGGTCGTACAATCGCGCGATTCAGAGCCCCGTGCGTTTAATGAGAACGGGGCGTTCGACTCGGCGCCCTGCGCTGCGCGCGCAGCACTTCCAATAGTTCGAAGAATGACCCAGAGGATTCTACAGAGCACCCCCGTCTGAGAACTCGTGGCCGCTTGTTGCGCATCCTCGCTGTTGCTGCTAACGGCCGCGGAAGCGACCGCTTCGGACAACCTGCAGTCGAAACCCAGCACGAATCAACGATTCGACGATAGTGCATCACACCCTCCCGTCCCAAGTGTCCTCCGCATTGTCCCCCGACCACTGACAAGCCGTCCTTCTCACTGCACGAGGCGCCACCTAGAAAGACGAGCACCAGGTGGGCCTGCCATGCAGGCGAGAGTCCGGCTTTGAAATGGACACCCCCCGTGTAATTGATTACTTCTCTTATATCTCAGGAAGTCTCCAGCGAAACACTTTATTGCGAACGCCTTACGGCCAGTGCCGCCAACCCTGAATGACGACGACGACGACGACGACGACGAGCGCTATCGGGGGCCTCTTGGGGGTAGTTTGGCGGCCTCTTGGGAAGCTCTTGGGAGCCGCTTGGGAGCCCCGTGGGGGCCTCTTGGGGCTTCCTGGGGGTCTCTTGGGGGCCTCTTGGGGTCTCTTGGGGGGCTCCTGAGGGGCCTCTGGGGGCTTCCTGAGAGCTTCTCAGGCCGAGGGATCGAAATGTCCGCGTCTGGGTACCCTCTTGGAGCTGTCTTGGGGGCCTCCTCGGCTGTCTTGGAGGCCTCTTGGGCGGTCTTGGGGCCCTCTTGGGTCGTTGTGGAGCTCTCTTGGAGGCCTCTTGTGCCAACTTGGGGCGGTCTTGGAGGCCTCTTGGCCTGTTTTGCAGCGTCGGGAAGCTGACAAGGCGAGAACGCTGAAATCTTTCAAAGACCTACGGGAAATTACGTTTTTGCCTCTTGGGGCCGTCTTGGAAGTCCTCTTGGAGGCCTCTTGGGGTGTTTTGGAAACCTTTTGAGCCGTCTGGAGATTACTTTGGCGACTTGGACCGATACTTCGGCGATTCGGGGCCCTCGAAGACCGTCTCGGGGATATCTTGGGGCACTTTTGCCGCGTCTTGGGGCTTTGCTGGGCCCCCGAACCGCCCGGGGGGGAGTCGTATCTGCCCCGGGACCCCCCCGGGGACCTCGCCCCCGGGCACCCCCCCCCAGAGTGGAAGGGATCAAAGGGAAGGGGCTTCCCTTCGACTCAACTGCAACTCTTTTCTTGGCCGCCAAACCGCCCGAGGAGGAGGCGCATCTGCCCCGGGACCCCCCGGGAGGCCACCCCGGGACCCCCCACCCCCAACGGGGAAGGGACGGATCAAAGGGAAGGGGCTTCCCTTCGACTCAACTACGGCGCTTTTCTTGGCCGCCAAACCGCCCGAGGAGGAGGCGTATCTGCCCCAGGATCCCCCAGGGAGGCCACCCCCAGGACTCCCCCCAGTGGGGCAGGGATCAAAGGGAAGGGGCTTCCTTTCGACTCAGAACGTTGCTGAGACTCCACAGCCTCTTCCACACGCCGACAGGGCCGGCGGATCTTGAAGAGACAAAAACAAGAATCGCCGTGCAGCTATCACATTCCCCAAGCAGTGCTTGCACTGAGGTTTTCTCACTTGGGTTCCTAAGGAATTGGATAGGTCGGGCGAGGTTTCGCCACGTTGCTGCCCGTTGCCGCCTCGCTGTCGCCTCGCGCGCCGGGTGGGTCTGGCGAGGTTTCGCCACATTACCGCCCGTTGCCGCCTCTTGCGTCGGGAGGGGCTGGCGAGCCAAGCTGTCGTTCGTGGTTGCCTCGTGACCGCCTCGTGCGCTGGGTGGGTCCAGCGAGGTTTCGCCGTGCCGCCGCCTCGTTGCCGCCTCGTGCGCTGGGAGGATATCCTGAGGTTTCGCCACGTGTTCGCCCGTCCTCCCGGATTATCGGTACCCCCTGGGATAGTACAAATTACATGTGATGATGTCTCATCGTTCATGTTCTCATGAGCTCGTACCATTCCAGGCAGGCTGGGCATTGCCCCCCGCATCGTCCTCTTCAAAGTGTACGATGCGCGCACACTCGCTTATCTCGAAAAATATGTTTCAAGAACCCGCTTGCAGAAACACTGCACGAAGCCCACATGCACGCACATGTCGAAATCATGTCAACACACACACACACACACACACCCGTCATGCAAGGAATTCAACATAAAACGTCAAAGTGCCGTAGGCGTTTCATAAAAATTCTTGCAGATGCTCTACCCGCGCGCACTTGCCGCTATCATAGAAAATCACATGAATGTAGCAATCTCGTCCAGAATCCGCATTCTCATTTCACCAAGCGGGGCATCCGCGTTGATCCAGCATGCGCCGAGTGAACGAAGCCCTATCAAATGATATCATGCGGGCCAAACTCGCGCGCTGCCATGCTCGCACGTCGAAACCTTCCCAAAACCATCGTTGTCCGAAGCATTTCAAGATATAGCATTTCAGAAACATTTGAAAGCCAAAATTTTTGTTCAACAGAAAGTCTGCCAGGTCCCTTGCGCGCGTGCAGATTTCCTCGCTATCATTCCCGTCAGCCCCGCCACATCACCGGCGGCATCGTCCTCGTCGTTCGTCGTTTGCCGCCATCATCAGTCAATCACTTCCATCACCGACACATGAATATCATCATTGTCTCCGTCGTCACCAGTATCGGCACCGTCATTGGCCTTGCCGTCGCCATTGTCATCACCGCGATCACCATCGCTACTATCATCACCGTTGCCGCCGTTGCCGACGTCATCCTGATACCGCGCCCGCCCTGTACAACGTAGCTTGGTGGTAAGTTATCCGTAAGGGCTTCGCCCCCTGCCGCCGGCCCCCTCTCTCGGAGAATGGACCATGGAAGAGCTAAGTCATGAGGCTTTGGCGCTGTCGTGCAGCAGTATCGGAACTTCATGCGAGGCCGATTCGCAATCGGCAAAACCAACTGATCACAAGAGGGGTTACCACACAGGGCGATTGGTAAGACGTGTATGGTTTACGAGCTTGGTTACCACACCTTGGGATTAAAGGGCCGAGGGAGTACTCGCAGTTTGGGTTACCACGCCTTGCGATGGATGTGCGTGAGGGGTGGCACCGAATTTCAGAAATGTGGCAAATCCCTGTGTTTTTGGACCCTGACCCCGCGGATCTGCGTGAGGGGTGGCACCGAATTTCAGAAATGTGGCAAATCCCATGTGTTTTTGGACCCTGACCCCGCGGATCTGCGTGAGGGGTGGCACCGAATTTCAGAAATGTGGCAAATCCCATGTGTTTTTGGACCCTGACCCCGCGGATCTGCGTGAGGGGTGGCACCGAATTTCAGAAATGTGGCAAATCCCATGTGTTTTTGGACCCTGACCCCGCGGATCTGCGTGAGGGGTGGCACCGAATTTCAGAAATGTGGCAAATCCCCTGTGTTTTTGGACCCTGACCCCGCGGATCTGCGTGAGGGGTGGCACCGAATTTCAGAAATGTGGCAAATCCCCTGTGTTTTTGGACCCTGACCCCGCGGATCTGCGTGAGGGGTGGCACCGAATTTCAGAAATGTGGCAAATCCCTGTGTTTTTGGACCCTGACCCCGCGGATCTGCGTGAGGGGTGTCGATTTCGAGCCCCCCCAGCAATTCAGACAACGCGCCCAGGGGGTGCTAAAAAATCATGTTTGGCCCTCCCCCCCCTCGCGCGGTCAATCAACTAGTTACAGTAACCAGCAAGAAGCAGAACTGTAACACTGGAAACTACAAACTACAACTGGTACAGGAAACTGCGAATCACGTGCCTCGCAGCCTGGTGGCCCCACAAGGGGGCCGGCGGATACCGGCTTGCGATATTCTCCCAGATGCCTCGCGCCGTGACTTGGAGTTTTGCTTCAGTAGGAGTGTTGCTTGTGCTACCGCCCGCTCTCCATTCCTTCGTCTGCTCCTCCCTTCCCCTTCATGCTTCCACCTTCCTTGCGATCAGATTGCTTTTATATGCCTGTGACGTGCGCTTTCCTTACTCTTGTCTTTGCGCGATGCCCAAGTAGTTTGATGGCCGGTTGGACCATGTGGGGATGCACACACAGCTCCATTGTCAGTCCCTTTCGCCTCGTTTCTAGATTTCCTCCTCCTCCTCCTCCTCCGCCTCCTCCGCTTCCTCTTTCCGTTCTTTCTCTCCACGTTTCCACAATGCTGCAGTAGGGTGCGACACAATGTTGGCAAGTGTGGCCCGATACGCTTAGTGGGCAAATTCGTATATGCCGCTATGTGCTTTCCTGCTCCGCGAGTTTCTCGAGTCAGGGGCTATTGCAAGTTTTTGCGTTCGTTGCCTTGCGGTCGGCCTCGCTCGCGTTGCGCATTTGGGATAGCCCCCTTGGGGGGCAGTGGATTCCTCCTTCTCCTCTGCTCAGTTGCTGACACAAAATGTGAGATCGCGCCCGCCCGGACCACCGACCCGCACTGAAGCGCCCGCGCGCCAGCGCGGCCTTTGACACGCGCTGGGGGATTCCCATCGGTAAGCGCCATCGCGGCCGCACTGGATGTGCCAAACCAGTTGTTCGCTCTGCGCGCTAGCGCAGCCGCAGAGATGCGCCAGCCAGGGCCAAGTAGTCATGACAATCGCGGCCGCATGGATTTTGCAAAACAATTTGCGGGTGGGAGGGCCAGATGATTGCGCAAGCAGTGGAATGAAGATTTCAAGTTACGCATGATGAATTGCACGACATACGCACCTAGCTTGCACCACATAGCACAAATCCACAATGCAAGAATGGATTGCTGCGGGTCCGCGGTGTCTGACGTACACCGAAGATCCGGACTCTTGACTGCAAGGGGGTCCCAAGCGGAGACTTCATCGCGAGAAGGAACCGTCCGCCATCCCCGTAAATTTTGCAAACATATTGGACGATTACGCGCGGCGCCAAGGAATTTGCAGCATTTCGAGTTCGATTCGCCATCCATATTTTCAGAACGAGTGCGCGCGTCGCTAATGCGAGGGTCTCAGTTTGAAAAGTTCCCAGTCTGCAACTCTGCAGTAGTTGTCAGTCTTTAAGACGAGTGCGTGCAGCGCTGAGGCGAGAGCCTCTTTTCGAAGACCACCGACCCTTTAGCCTCGTCACTGGCGCAACTATTTGCCGACAGATTTGCGCGGCGGCACTGCGAGAGCCGCGTTTTGACAACGACGGGCCTTCCATCCATGTAGCGATTGGGTTTTTCCCCAAGCCGTGTTTGCACCAAGGGTTTTTCGTTTCTCTGTCGAGGAACCGGGCCTGAGGGTCAGTCTGGCGGCTATCTGGCCGCCGTCGCCGCCTCCGCCGCCCGTCGTCTGGGCCTG